CAACAATTACTAATTGGGCATTATGTAAAATTGTGGATGTGTAACCGACGTGATTCTGCAATCTGCATTTGGGGTAAAATTGGGAGTTCATAACTCACTTCAATCTAAATGAAATATGTTATGTCAAGAGCTTTGTAATGTTGTGAACAACCAATAAAAAAAAGAAAAAAAAGAAGTCTAATTACTTTCAGTTGCCTTTTTAAAAAAATATATTTATATTTGTATATATTATCCTGTGATTCTACTTATGGTTCCTCTGCTATGTTGAAGATCTAGGAGCATAAAAGCCTTGTGTCCCCCATGAAGAGTGGCTCTAATGCTGCAGAAAGGTTACAAACAGGCAGTCTGGTCCTTCATTGATCTGGACTATTCATGGCTTCATTGTAAGTGATTATCCTTTTGGGATCTTGCTTCTGCAAATTCCAAATAGATTTCATTTCTTTAGTGTGATATACAATAGCAGCCCTCAGGTCAAAAGAACCCCAGCTATCATTCCTTTCTAGGCCTCTCTAGTATATCTGTTCTTTGGTGGAGCCTAACAAAGTGTTCCTAGGAGAGGCCAGAGGATTTAGATTTTCTATCTCGTAGTCCTTTGAGAGAAACACTAAAGCACCTTGACTACTGGTGTCTGCTTTCTGCAGGTCACCTATATGACTGGGTTCCAAGGATAAGGCTCCACTCTCACTAACAGTCCCAGGTTTTAGAATGCTACCCAGAACTTGAGGACTAGTCCGTTTTTCCAGCTCATAAGCCTTGGGAAACACAGGATGCTCCGTTCCTGAGGGGATTATTTCAGCACCCTGTGAAACCAAAGTGGCAGGATATTCTCCTTGAAATGTCACCTCCATCACTTTATGATCTGATGACTTCCCAATAACAGTCTCAGGGCCAGCACTGGGCTCATTTATAAATGATAAACCCCACTGATTCTGGAAGATATCCCCCAGGTTTTGCTGATCTGTCTGAGAGGGCAGATCCACTTGTGCTGTGCTCAACAGCACAGTTTGCATATTTGAAGGATAGATAAAAAGACTAGACTTAATTTGTTCAACAGCTGCTGAAGTTAAACTCATGTCTTGGAGTACTGAATCAGTTCCAGAAGAGACGGGTGTTAGAGTATTAGAAGCAGTAGTTAGCAGTGGCTGGCCCCCTGAAGGATACACACTTCCATCAGTCCCTGCTAAAACAGGCCCATTGGAAAAGTTGGCTGAAGTAACAGATTTCAGTGCTGACATAGGGACCTGGGATAACCAACTTGAAGACTGGGTCTGAGTTTCCCCAGTAGATGACGAAGAAGATGAAGATGAAGATGGAATTCTGTATAGTTTTGTTGAGGTTTTCCTTAACTTTGCTTGCATAACTTATTTTAGGAACTATTTTAGCACTGCTATTGTCCACTGGAAAAACTGGGGGTGGTTTAAATAGGGTCCATGAGTCCTCTTTGGAGGCAACAGCTGAGGCATGCTTTCCTTTGGGCCGATCATCAAACTTTTTGCTGCTCACACCAGGTTTAATATCTGAACTTTTACGAAGCATATCACCCATGGCAGGTTTTCCTCAATTTGTTCCTCCAGACCCAGTCTCATATTTCCAAATGGGCTTTGAACCATCTACTCTATTTCCCTTTTGTTCACTATAGTCAGGCTTTAAAGTTTCAAGTCCCTGTTTTAAAGTTGGGACGCTAGTCTCTTGTTGCATTATTTTGTCCTGCACTAAATTAAGGTTTTCACAACCCTTGGCACTATTGCGCCTAGCTTTATTTTTTTTAGGAGTAGTATATCCATTGTCAGATCCACTACCATCATTATCTGCTCCTTTGCCCATATAACCATTAGTAATGTAGCCTGAAATATTTGTTACGACACCATTTGGAATTGCTACAGTATCAGTCTTATCTACAAACTGGTTTTCTCCAGATTTATTTTCGTAAGACTTCCCATTCTTTTTGTCCATACTGTTTTTCTGAATGAAATTCTTGGTTTTAATTCCTGCTTTCCCAAAGGTGCTGGCCTTTACAGTCTGCTTCAGGCTAGTGTCTACAACTTGCTGGTTGCCATTGAGGACCCTGGAAATAGGGTTGGTAGCTTCATCAGAACCCAGGCTCTTTAAAGATATTTCTCTTTCTACAGCATTACCATTTATTTCACCATAGCCTGTTTTCTTCTTCGGCGTTTCCTGGTGCTGCTGGAGGGTGTGTTTCTGCTCATGTTTCAGTGGCTTTGCCTGGGCCTTGGGGCTGCCCTCAGCTCCATGCTGCAGGTATTGGTGAGGCTGCTGGTGATGATGGTGGGTGGTGATGGTTGTGGCTGTGGTTGTAGAAATAATAATGGTGGTGGTGGTGCAGCTGCTGCTGCTGCTGCTGCTACTATTGAGGATGATGGTGCAGATGGTGGTCATGCACTCCTATAATCATAATTTAACAACTAATTTTCTGCTTTGAGCTGTCTACTTATCACTGATGGATGAACTGAATCCATGATACTACCTATGAAAGGTTTTGTTTTAAGTTCACAGATGGAAACATGAAGACTACAGATGTTAGATCATCTGCTGAGTGTCACATCTATAAATTTATAGGAATGGAACTTAAACTTGTGAAATTCAGGACCCTTGGCATTGGTCCCTCTCTATCAGAGGTATTCACCACAATTTTTAAAAGTTCTCTAATGTAGTTATTCATTAAAAACAGAAAAATAAAAACAAAATAAAATTTGGAATCAACAATTTGTAATTCAACAATTACACCTGAACCCACCACATCTGAACACTCCATTCCACTCTCTCTGTGTGCCTCTCTCTCCTTGGAGACCAGGACACTCACAAGCAGGGAGTAGGAATGTATTGCACAAATGGCCAAGTTCTCAGACTCAAGCAGAATTGCCCTGAGAATCAAGGGACAGAAACCTATAAAAGTTATGGAACCAGCGTTTTCCTCTCCTGATGGGTTGAGGCACTGTTGGTCACTCCCCATGATCTGGCCACTTTTAAGTAGCTGAAGACAGTAGCCCCGATCTTGAGAGTAGTAAAAATGCAACCATATGTGTCTTCATGCTTAGGCGTGCCTTCCTGCAGCCCCATGGGTCAAGCTAGGCTCACCTCTTCCTTTGTGATATTAACTCCTTGCCCTATTTGGGATAGAATGTTCCATGGAAACACCCTTTGTGTGTCTCCTTCTCTTACTCTGCCCTTGGATGTGGCCTTCCTATATGTCAGTCAACCTGCTGATAGCAGACATCATGAAGCTAGACTCAGCCCCCTGAAACCTGACCCCTTTCCTTATTTGAATGACTTCTCCTCAAAGAAAGGGGTCAGCATGTGCTTGCTCTCTTTCTGTAGATCCTTAAGGTCAGAGGAGCCATCACAGCAACCCCAAAGAAAAAGATATTTTTATCTCTTATGTGGTTATTTCACGCAGCCCAGTTCTCCTGGAGTGACCCTGAGTGTTTTTGACGTGTTCAATGCGACAGTTATGAAGCATTTATTAGTCACTTTGGGGTGGTAGTAGGGAGTTCTGGATATTTGCTTACTCAACAAAATACATCCCCAGCATTTTCAAATTCCCACAGATAAATACACAATACTAAATGCTTCTATAGTAGGAAAGATAATCATGGCCTCACTAATGTTAGACACAAACAAAAGAAATACACATTTAAATGGTATATTAGAAAGTGTTAAAAACCTTCAGTACGTGGTCCAAGGGATATAGGTCAGTGGTGGAGCACTTGCCTAGCATGCATGAGTCTCTGGATTTGTTTCCTGCTAAATAAAAAGAGAAGAAATTTTTATTATAACCCATGTTGCTAAAATGTTGGCAAAGGTCTGGGGTTGTGGCTCAATGTCAGAGGGCTTGCCTTGCCCATATGAAGCACAGGGTTCGATCCTCAGCATCACATAAAAACAAACAAAGATATTGTGTCCATGTATAACTAAGAAAAATTTTTTACAAGTGTTGGCAGAAAGAACTTCCTCAATACTGTTGTTTGAATGAATTTGGTAGCACTCTTCAACATGCAATATAGCCTTGTGTTCTAACAGTTTTAAATATACTATTTTGATATAGAAATTCCACTTTTAGCAATATATTCCACAGATTCATTCACAGAAACAAGAAACTCTATTAAGGAAGAAATATTGTTCTTTCAGAGTACAATATAAAAACGATCCACATGGTTAGAAACAAGACTACCCTTAGAATCCTAAAGGGAATAGATTGTATAGAGATTCTAGGACATATTAAATGCCTTATAATTCCAAGAGGTAGAAAGTATTAAGTATTTTTACATATATGTAAATGTTTATAGTAATGAAAACGTGGCTCCCTGTTTACATGGAATCATATAGATTTTAAATCACTAAACAAAGATAATGATGCTACACAATTTTGTGGATTTGTAGGACCTTTAATCAGAAAAATATTTGATAAAATCAATTCTCTATTAATCTCATATCTTCCACTTTCATTCCTTTTTCTGTCTTCCTGGAAATTATTCTAGTGAAATAAAATTTAAGTAATGACTTTTTTTTAATATATTTTAAAAAATATTTTATTTACATTTTAGTTTTCGGCAGATACAACATCTTTGTTTGTATGTGGTGCTGAGGATCGAACCCGGGCTGCACCCATGCCAGGGGAACGCGCTACCACTTGAGCCTCATCCCCAGCCCCAACTTTTTTAGCAAGATATTGTAGAGTCACAAAACTACAAAAATATAGTGAGATTTCAGTTTGCAAAATGGATGCAAATGATATCACTAATAATTCAAAAAATAAATTTATTAAATTATGAAATTGATGCAAAAGATACTGAAGATTATTAAAAGATAAATTTTGAAAAATATAAAGATCAGTTAAGACAAGTAAAGGTGTCAGAGTACAGTTAATTGGAGGTCAAGTTGAGAGATACCTCCTTCTCTTCCTGGTGCATTTCCTAGCTCAAATCAAAGCCCAGGGCCTCTCCCTGTGCTACTTGTCAAAGGCTAAACCTTCCTGAGGCTGGGAAATTGCAACAGAACCTTTGGCCCTCTGCCCCTTGAAGGGATCCACCAGGACTCTTGGCCCCAGGCACACTTGTAGCTTCACGGACTCATTCCTGCACTGAAAACCCAACTAATACATTAAATTAAAAATCATATTCTTTTCACAAGAGTTTAAGATAATATGTTAATATTATATATCAGATGTTATATTAGGCATGAAAGTCAATTTTTTCCTCCTGTTTTAAAGAAATTAAAATAATTTTTAGGCCCCTAGTGTATTATAAGGCCATAGGTGCTTTGCCTAGTGGGTGGGTGAGCAATGAGTGGTATCCTACTAATTTCCATTAGCAGCAGCTGGGGCTCTATCTCTAGAGGGGCTAAATTATGAACCCCTCCAAAGCAGAATTCGGCCTGGGTAGTTAAAATGCAACTTTGTAAAGAAGTCTAAAAATTTGTGTACATTCTTAGATTCCCAATGATAAAAACTACCCCTCCTTGGATCATTGTGATAGTAAAAACTACACTGTGGCTTCTTTGTGTCAAACATGTCCCAAAGAGATTTCTTCATGAATCAGTTTCAATTCAAGATCATGAGACTCTTGATTGTATTTCAGGAAAACAATACCATGTAGGAAATTAATGTGAACATAATCTCTGAGGAGAGTCATGCTCTAAAATTTAAAAAAAAAAAGGACAAAATTGTTCAGGCATGTTCACACATGCTTGTAATCCCAACAGCTCCAAAAGCTGAGACAGGAGGATCCTGAGTTCAAAGCCAGCCTCAGCAATGGTGAGGCACTAAGCAACTCAGTGAGACCCTGTCTCTAAATAAAATACAAAATAGAGCTGGAGACGTAACTCAGTGGCCAAGTGCCCATAGTTTAATCTTCAGTACTGGGGGGGAAAAAGGCACAATTCATCTCAATGTAAGATTTAAAATAGAATTAGTCATTGTGAAAGTCAACCATCTTTATGTACTACCTCTGTGCATTTGCTCATAATTAATCCCTAAAATGTCTGTAGTCCCAGCTACTCAGGAAGCTGAGGTAAGAGGATCACAAGTTCCAAGATAGCCTCAGTAATTTAATGAAGCCACAAGCAACTTAGTGAAACTCTCTCTTAAAATATAAAACCAGCAATGAATGTAGCTCAGTGCTCATGAGCCCCAGGTTCAATCCCAAGTACCAAGAAAAAAAAAAAGACAGTTTTAAATGTCAGTTTTACTTTTCTTTCTTTTTTTTAATTTTTCTATCATTTTATTTTGCCAGCATTACTTTTTCCCATGTGCTATGCTATGTATTCCTTCCCATAATTTCAATAATGAAAGCATAAATTGTATAAAGACTTTAGGAGAATTCTACTTTTGTTTTATGCTAATTTAACCAAAGGAAAGTACATTATGACAATGCTAGTTATTTTGATAGGCATTGTATATATGTGTAAAAACAATGAAACTTCCTCAAAAAATGAAAAGATATCTTTTTATACAACTACTTTTGTAAAATGTACAATTTCTCAAGGTCTAGAGTCTTCCAGCAGTGGCATATGTGGTGTTGACTTGTTGTGGGTTTTTTCCCTTTGGTGGTGCTGGTGATTGAACCAAGGGCCTCACACATGGTCAACAAGGCCTCTACCACTCAGCTACATCTCCATTTTTTGTTTGTTTGTTTGTTTTGAGAAAGGGAATCACTAATTTACCATGACTGTCCTTGAACTTGTTTTCCTCCTCTCTCAGATGCCAAGTCTCCAGGATTACAGGCCTGGGCCACTGCACCTAGCCTTCTGCCTTTCTTTATTGTGGAGACTTATCCTCTAGTTGTCCCCAAGATTCAAGAAAATAAATAAGGAGAGAGAGAGAAAAAGAAAAGCTGATTTAGACTTAAGGTCTTTAGAGTTAAAGGTCATCATATAGGAATGTTCATCATATGTCCAGATTATGCCCCGTATATGTATTTTTGGATAATGAGCATTAAAAATGAATATGTGAATTTCTAAAGTGCATTATTCCTGAAGTTTCCATTGAATTCCATATCCACTCACTTCCTTCTACTAAAACCCTTTTACTAGAAGCCCCATTTAGTGGCAGATGGGTAGTATGTGGTACTGGTGAAAAGGATTAGGAAGGAGGAGGGAGCATAGATGAAAGCATAGATGAAAGGGCTGGCTGGGTTTCTCTCAGAACTTCTGGAAACTGAGAGATAGTAAAAGTAAAAGTTGGCACTTTGTCTCTGATGAACATTCCTTTCACTTTAAATAATTTTTATATTTTATGTATTAATTAAAATAAATTTAAAATATTTTAATTAAAAAAAGAAATGAGTTTTCCCTCTACAAATGCTATAAAATTTTGAATAAATTTTGAAAATCATATTGTCTTCTAGAACACAACTGGTTGTTAGCCTTTCTTCTTTGATTTTGCCGGCCGCTTAATGA